TCTTGCAAGGCACTCCTCTACAGGAGTCAGCTGAGTCATCAGACGACGTGGACAAGTTGCGCCAGCAAGCGCGTGAAGCACTTCTGGAGGGAGCAAAGTCCGGCAAATTGTTTGATGTGCTGGCATCAAAGCAGGCACAGGAGGATGCTGCAGAAGAAGGCAGCAAGCCAGAAGGTAAAGAGACCGAGGGGGCCGAGATAGATGCACTCCGCCAGCAGGCGCGCGACTTGTTGTTGGAAGGTGCTCAGAGCGGAAAGTTGTTGGAGGTCTTGCAAGGCACTCCTCTACAGGAGTCAGCCGAGTCATCAGACTCATCAGACGACGTGGACAAGTTGCGCCAGCAAGCGCGTGAAGCACTTCTGGAGGGAGCAAAGTCCGGCAAACTGTTCGAGGTTTTATCTACGAATAGTGACCAGACCGAGCAATTAACATCGCAGCCAGCCAACAAGCCGTCTTCAGAGGACGACATGGACGACTTGCGCAGGCAGGCCCGTGAAGCCCTTCTGCTTGGTGCACAGTCTGGAAAGCTGATGGAACTGCTGGCCAAGAACAGCGAGCAGAAAGCAGCGAGCAAGAGGGGCAGTGGGATCGGGAGCACGAATCCGGATGAACTGGAATTGCTTCGGCAGCAAGCGCGAGAGGCCCTAATCCAGGGCGCCCAGAGTGGAAGGCTGCTAGAGGTCCTGGCGAAGCCGGATGAGGCAGACGAGATGTTCCAGCTCAAGAAGAAGTTATGCGAGGCAATTGCAGGAAGCATGGAGACGGGAGAGCTGACAGAAGCTTTGAGGGAAGCCCGCGACTTGCGGACACAAGAGATCGGTGACGCCTTACGGGACGGCGCCGAATCTGGAAAGATCCTTGAGGTTCTTGCAGAGAAGGTGGCCGGAACGGGTGGAGAGGATGCGTGAGGCACTCGGATCCCTCTCGTCCAACATGGACCGAGTCCCACAGCTCGGCACGGCACAACTTCTGAACCTGCCGAGGAAGCCGTTGGAAATGACGCAGAAGCCTGAGGACGTGGGCTGTGCGCATCTGAGTCACGAGGAAAACGCTTGTTGGCTTTGTGCAGGAGGTGGCCCAGAAGCTCTTGGAGACCTCAGAGGCCTCAGAGAAAGGGGACCATTTCCGGATATATGTTCTGTGAGTACCGTCGTGAGCACGCACAGGCGCTGAAGGCGACCCCAGAGGCGGAGAGGCCAGTCTGTCTTTGTCTCTGCATCCTTATGAACAAAAGTTGGCCTTCCGAGCGCACTGCAGGGCGACAGCGGTGGACTTGGCTCTCCAGCAGGGGGGCTCAGAGATCTGGTTCGGTTCCGTCTTTCGGAAGCCGCCGCATGAGGTCTTGTTTAAGTTCGCTGTGAGGTAATACATGGTTTAATTTACGGTATGTACCCTGGACAACCCTGGACGCGAAGCCGTGAATCAGGCTAAAGCTTCTGCAGGACCAGAAGAGGACGCTGAGCATCCATTCCTGCAGTCCGTTTTCAGGGGCGCTTTGCCTGCATCCCATGCTTCGGAGATGACCATGTCTTACGCTTTCAATAGAGGCAACCAGCAGCAAGAGGCAACTTGACGATGATAGCTCCGTGTGAGACCCGAGTCTCCACGAGCCCCGACAGAGAAAGAGTTTCATATCCCAGGGGTTTCACGCCCGGACATCGAAAAATATCCCGTAACGCTAAAAACGTTTCGTGATATCGAAAGAGTTCCAACCTTCTTCCTTTATCGGACATCGAAAAACCGTTCGTCGCCCGCCCGCCCGCCCGTCCGTTCGTCCCTCCGTCCCTCCGTCCGTCCGTCCGTCCGTCCGTCCGTCTGTCCGTCCCTGCGTCACCCGTCCATCATCCGTCCTGTCCATCCGTCCGTCCGTCACGTCCGTCCGTCCCTGCGTCACCCGTCCGGGTGTTCGTCCGTCAGGTCCGTCCGTGCGCCCGTGCGTCCGTGTTCGTCCGTCCGCCAGGCCATCCGTCCGTCCGTCCATCCGTCCGTGCGTCCGTTCTTGCGTGTCCGTCCGTCATCCCGCCCGCCCGGCTGTCCGTCCGTCCGTTCGTCGAATCTCTCCGTCTGTCGAACGTCGAAAGATGTCGGTCGGACATCGAAAACCGGAATTTAGCGTTTTGGTTGTGATGGGGCTTTTTCCGGCTTTTTCGATGTACGCTGGTAATATCCCCGTCACCATCCAGCAGGAAATCTGAAACAGATCGATAAGTTTCTACTCTAGCGACAGGACGATGGCTGCAGAGAAAGAGTGCTTGTCTTCCGGGCCTGTTTGGTCAGCGAGGTTGTTGATGGGTTTAGCAGCTGAAGTCTAGATGACTTGTGCCGGTCGGAGTTCGCTTGTCCTCTGCCCTCCAAGATGCCGTTGGAAGGCTGCAAGCTCTGTACTTGTGTGGCTGCTACAGTATGCCAGGGAAGACCTTTTAAAGGAGCTCGAGCTGAAGAACAGCGTGCTTCGAAGCAGGTGTCGCAAGGGCCTGCGGTGGTAAGATCAGGTTCCTTTGTTCATTTGATGAAGACCTGCCCGGCACGCAGGAGCAGGAGTTCTTCAAAGGAAGAGGCTGCTTAAACTTGTTTCACCCTTGCAAATCAGCAAGCTTAGAAATGTCTTTAATGTGCAAGAGTCATAAACCATGAAAATCACATAAGTTCAGCAGTAGAACAGCTGCAAGGTCGCTGTCGGATCTCTTGCCATCAACCATAGAAGAGTTGACACTTGCGAGCTCCTCCGGTCAAACACAAGCTAGAAACAGACTGGAGTGGCTTGTGGAAATCATAGTCGGGATGTTGCGGAGCAGCACCCACTTCGACTCGAAGACGGCAACCGGTCAGTCCCAGCCAGGACATAGATGACGTGTTTTTGCATCCTGCAGATTGAATGAAGACAAGGTGTTGGTTGTCCGCTCGACACGAAGGTCTCGGACTAGGGTTTGTGCCAGTCCTTTTTTGTGAAATGTTTCACTTTACAAAGGTTTCACCTGCTAGGGATTGCTGCAGTCTGCATTTTGCGAAAATGGATGTTCCTGGCAAGGGGCTGACAGTCTCCAGCCAACAAGTCATATGTGGCTTGCGCGGCTAGGCTAACCCACAACACTCAGGCCAGGCTTTGCTGATCGAGCCTCAAATGGTTGTTGATTTCTTACTTCATTCGTTTCGCTGTGCTGATCCGCAGACATCTTCCAGAACAACCAGCTGATCATGATGTTTCTTCCAAAGAACAGCACCAAGTCGAGCACAGCTGTGCAGGGTGCACTCTTGCAAGATAGGAGGTTCGCTTGAATATGAGCGGAGGAGGCATGCATCATACATCAACCTGCTGAACTACTCAACATTCTCTCCATGCAAAGCTGCTAATAGCAAAGGCTGGACAGTATCCGAAGAAGAGGCTTGTAGCAGAACATTTTCAGAGCCAATTGCTAAATTAGTTCCACCACTTGTCGCCATGCTGCCCGGCAATTCGAAGGCAGGTCGTCACTCCATCCTGCCTGCGCGATATGGGAACAGCTCAGGATAATGGTTTTGGCAACTCTCTGTGGAAAGTTCGGGAGGGTGGGGATGTCTCTGCAGGTTGGCACAGGTAGTGAGACAGAGACACGTTGGAATGGATCCGCAGCTCGCACCTGCGAATCTTAGCCCAAAACATGACCCCGGAGCAAAGGGTGGTACTCTACATCGTTTGCGTGCCCGTACTCTAAATTCTGGAGCTGCTGCGACCTTGAGTTGACGAAGTTCTCACCGAAGATAACCTACATTGTTCTGGATCAACTTACTAATTGCTAGAGCTCTCAGCTATGGTTCAGAAGGTATATGTAGTATACACTGCATGGAAACTCGTGGGCGCAAAACTCGCGTTGGACTTGTGCTGCTGCAGCCAGCGCTTCGTTTTCAAGCCTTCTGCCAGGAGCCGGGATTGCATGAGCCTCGTTTCTGTTTGCAGATGAGACAGCGCAAGACATTTGCACGGCGCATGTCGGCCTGATGACATGTTGGTCACTGTTTGGCAAAGATACATGTGCAGGGCAGTCACTCAGTTTGGTTCGCAAGGACTTCATCACATTGAGCTTTGGGGAAGTTGTTGTGCAGTAGATGGAGTATCTTTGATTGGGCGCCGCACCTTTGAGATGGTCCGATATTATTGTCGTGATACCTCTTTGTTGTTCGTGCCAGCTACTAGAAAGTGGTCGTGGCCCAGGCAGAGCTTGCTCGTGGGAGATGTCCTTGTGCGTCATCCAGATCTGGCTGGTTTAGCCCCGCTCTTGGGTATTTGCTGTTAGCTGCTCATTGTTTCCTGGAGCAGTTTCCGTCCAGGATTCGCCAGCAGAGCTTTTCGCTATTGATGCTCCAGAGGCCAAACCAGCAGTTGCACACAAAAACATGGCAGAGCCTTCAAGACCATCAGGGGCGACACACCCCCTGCCAGGCCGTGGCATCTGCTCCAAGCCAAGAGCCCTGGCTTGGCGCTGTTGAACGCGCATGCCTGCCGTGCTGCGGAGCTGTCAGCCCTCAAGTCATATTATGGTCCAGAATTGAGGTCGTCGAACACAAACACCAGAGTCACATAACGACTCGTTCAAGCAGAGACATGGCTGTGCAATTTTGAAGTACGCTTGGTTCCTTTGGCGATCGGAAAACTAATGTATGGTGTGTGTTCGAGAGCTAGACATCAGATTGTGCAGAAGCTCAGGGGGTATGTGATTTCTGTCATCAATGTTGACGGCCATGGGGCGCTTGTGCGCAGCCAGCCTGCTTGCCGTCTTGCCGCTGATAAGAGCCGTTCGTCCCATCTAGACTTCTCTTATCCTGACGGGACCGACATGGGATCTGAGATGTGCCTTGCAAAGGCGGACGTGCAACAAGATGCCGGGTGCCCTGCAGGAGTGCCGCGAGGCTGACTCAGCGTGTTTCAAAGTCCGGTCCCACCTCTCGAGGAGATGAGGCCTGCAAGTGGCGGCTCCAGGCGGGGAAGTGCGAGACAGGTCTCCAAGTCCAAGACGAGCTAGGACCAGAACCCCTCGACCGAGAGCAACTGCATCTGGGTAGTGACCACCGAGTCTCTTGAAAAGGCCAGCCAGGCAAAACAGATGGCCTCATCCAGACCAGCTCTTACCAGCTCAGGCTGCGTCTGGGTTATTTTCTGAAACTTTGCGTCAGCTGCGGTCCGATGCGGTCCCTAGGGGCATGTGCAGGGGATGGAGAGCACGCAGACGCCGTGGCCCTCCTTTTCTCGTTGTTGGGCGGCTTCTTCATGGGAGCTTATCCGGTTCCCATAAAGGCCTTGGCGCTTGGCTTTCCGCCGCTAGCCGTGGACTAGAGCTGGCAGGCCCCGAGGGTCCTGAAGGCGAGCCCCCACCCTGTCATCTTCCAGTGCTACAAGACTCTCAGCAAAAAGGGCCAGGGCAAGGAGGTTCTACATCACGCACCTCCGAGCTGTTGCTTCCGAGGACCTTCTGGGTCTTCATCACGGGATGGCTCTTCCTGCTGCCGCGCTGGCGCTTTGCCAGAACAGCTTTCCATAGGTCATGTGCAGACCGGCGGCCCGTGGTGTAGCACGTCTGCCCGAGGTGGCAGCAAGAGTCTCCGGTCTTTTGCCCCACGTGGTGGGGAGTTGTCAGCGCCATGGGCTGGAAACTTTGCGATCATCAAGTCGTGTGCAGACTGTCAGGCTACGCAGACATGATTCACACCGTGTCTGCAAGCCAAGCCCCGGTGTTGTTGAGGATCCCTGCTGGCGTTTGTGCGATAGCGGCAGTACCACGCATCGGCATCGGGATGCTCGCGGCTGTTTCTCTCCTACCAGCTTTGGAGCCAGCGAATGGTCCTCGCCTGACAACTTCTTAAAAGAGCCGAAGCTGCTAAGGTTGCAGCTTCCTGCGGATCCATTTCGGCATTTCTGGTCTTCTGGCTTGTTCTCGGAGAGTCCATGAAGGAGCACAACATCGGAGGGCACGTGTGCCTTGCTGCGATATTTGCCCGTGGTTTTTGATGTGGCTGTCAAGTATCAGTATTGTGATGCTAGATTTTGAGTTGCCTTTTTCTGCTGCTTCTGACTGCTCGTGTTGCAAAGCAATTGTTTTCTGCTCCACCGGTGGTGACGTAATGATGGCGATCATGACGGTTGTGTTGAACATGCTGATGATGTTAATCATCATCATCATCATCATCAGCATCATCATCATCATCATCAGCATCTTCATCATCATCATCATCATCATCATCATCATCCTATCATCATCAGCATCTTCGTCGTTGTCGTCATCATCGCCATCATCGTCGTCGTCATCATTGTCATCATCGTCATCGCTATCGTCATCGTCATCATCCAGCATCACCTTTCATCACCATCACCATCATCATCATCACCACCATCATCATCTTCTTCTTCGCCATCACCATCACCATCACCATCACCATCACCATCACCATCACCATCACCATCACCACCATCATCATCTTCTTCTTCGCCATCACCATCACCATCACCATAACCATCACCATCACCATCACCATCATCATCATCATCATCATCATCAGCAGCAGTAACATCATCATATGCTACAGAGGCGTTCATACATGTCTGCATGGTCTTAATGTACCAGCGTATTAATGTATTAATG